TGGGTAAGGCACCAGGTTGGTCTGGAATTCAATCAAGTCGACGTTCAAGGCCCCGTTAAATCGCAGCGAGGCGGTGACAGATGAGACAATCTGCCCAATGAGCCTGTTGAGGTTGGTGTAGGTGGGACGCTCAATGTCCAGGTTGCGGTTGCAGATGTCGTAGATGGCCTCATTGTCCACCATGAAGGAGCAGTCCGAGTGCTCCAGGGTGGTGTGGGTGGTGAGGATGGAGTTGTAGGGCTCCACCACAGCTGTGGAGACCTGTGGGGCTGGGTACACAGAGAACTCCAGCTTGGACTTCTTGCTGTACTCCACAGAGAGCCGCTCCATGAGGAGAGAGGTGAAGCCAGAGCCTGTGCCTCCCCCAAAGCTGTGGAAGACCAGGAACCCTTGGAGACCACTGCACTGGTCAGCCTGCAGCAGAATAAGGCTTTTTAATTTATCTCAGCTGAATACTGGAGTAAGGAACCAATGTAATACAGGAAAAAAGAAGAAGATATACATTTGGAGCACTTATTAGCCAGAAGAGAATCATTCAAGCAAAACCACAAACTCCAGCCCTTCTCTTTCCAAGGGTGGATTCACTCAGTTAACTTTCCCACTAACCATCTTTTGATTAGACATATGCTAGTCAATCAGAGGACTTCCATAGGTAGTTGAGCATAGCCAATTCATTTAGAATTAATCTCTGCATTTGCATAACCAGAGTGTGGCTTCCCTATGGTCAAAAGTCCCTTTCTTCCATATTTTAGATGTAGCATTTTCTTGCTCCAGCCCATGACTCTGATACACAAGGACAGTTGCTTTAAGAACAGATATATAGTTTCTTAAGAACTCCTTTCTTTACCAACCCCCAAATCTAGCGACAATAGCAGCAGTCCTTGAGCTCAGAGAGCAGAATTTCGCTTTTATTTTATTTTTTATTTATTTTTAACCCAGGCATTAACCCAAAATTTAATTGCATTATCCATGATGGGCTATTTTAAGGAAAATGCTTTCTTTTCCCTCTTACCATTTTACGGATTCTGCTGAGAACGGTGTCAATGATCTCCTTCCCAATGGTGTAGTGGCCACGGGCATAGTTGTTGGCAGCATCTTCCTTGCCACTGATGAGCTGCTCGGGGTGGAAGAGCGCGTGGTAGGTCCCGGTCCTGATCTCATCTACGAGGAGGAGCAGTCATAGAGAACAGCAGTTACTCTACCACACTAACAAACAGAACTCATAAACCCTGCAGGAACCCATGCAAAATGAGATTACAAACAAATTGATGGTCATGGCGTGATTAATTATACTGGGAATAATAAAAGGGGTTGGGAAAACACTGTCCAGACTATCAAGTTCATTACCTCCTCCACCTTCTTCCAGCTGCCACCTTGAGATCCTAATCTAATTTGGTTTGTAAAGATCTGTAACTTTATCACATGTAACTTGTGCTTCTTCTAGAGCATCTTGAGGTTGCTGGAAGCACTGTCTCCACCACCTGCTCTATGGCATGTTGAAGAGGAAACAGCACCTCCTGTATTGACATTTCAGCTAGGCTCATCCCACCAAGCTCCAGGCATCTAGTGAACAGAGGCACTAGGAGCAGTTTCTCTGGGCTCTGCCCAGTCATTGAGGTTGATAGACACCTCCAAAGAGTCATTAGATCTACTCAGTCTCAACACTGGATACATTTCATATTCTGCTGGCTCACTCAGATTCCCAGTTTAATGCCTTGATTAGGTGCCTAGAAATTAAGTGGAACCAAAACAAAAGTCTGCATTCCTTCCATTAAATGAAATACTGAGTCACACATCCCAGACAGTAAGATAGGAGCAGACACATTCACCCACAGGAGAAGCCTAGGAGGCAGGAGCAGGATAATATGGAAGCAGGTGCCAGGGAGTTGTTTCCTCCAGCTTTCTGAGCAAAAGAGTTTGTTTTCTAGGAAGATATTCCAAATCAAATTAAAATGCCATGATTAGGTCACGCTTACAAAGACAGTTAATGAAGTCCAGCTTCACTCCCTTTGGAAGGGAAAGTAGAAAGCTGCCAACAGCAAGACACCCATTTTCCACAGAACCATGGGACTGGTGGCACCTACATGCCCAGAGGTGCTTCAGAGGTAGCTTTAAAGCCAGAACTACCACATCAGGTCACAGACCCACATAATTCAGTCCAGAGCCAATTGTGGTTAATAAACCCAATAAACTTGACACTTGCTGAGGGTCCTGCTTGAGACAGCAGGTCACTCTTAAATGGAGGGATCACCTGAAGACAAGACTGTGGGAAGAGCAATGGCACTTGCAGGTCCATTTGGAACTGCAAAGCCCATCCAGCTGCTGATGGCTGGAGACCTTTTAACAGAGCAAAGGGACCTGCCAGGCAATGCAGGCAGCAACACAAGGCTCAGAAGTCGAGGAAGAAGATGCCACAACACCCATCTGCCCCGCTATTACCAATGACAGTGGGCTCCAAGTCTATGAACACGGCCCGGGGCACGTGCTTCCCAGACGCCGTCTCGCAGAAGAAGGTCTCGAAAGAAGAATCCACTTGTTCGGGCTCCGGCTCCACAGGTTTTGCCAGCTTGGGGCCAGGAATGGTCCCGTCTGCCTGGATGCCGTGTTCGAGGCAGTACAGCTCCCAGCAGGCGTTGCCCATCTGCACGCCAGCCTGCCCGATGTGGATGGAAATGCATTCCCTCTGGAAAGGGAAACGGCTGGTTAAGGAGATTTTTAGACATCCTGCAACTCAGCAGTAGCCCCCACAGCTCTCGTTGGGGCCATTTGCTACTGGCAGATGATTAGGGAAACAGGAAACTTCCACCCACTGCCAGGAGCTGGAGCAAGGATCAGCCTCTGATCCACGGGGCTGCTGGACACAGCCCAGCCACGCACACAGCATCCCCAGGAAGGGCTTTTCCAACCCAAGGGAAGGAAGGAAGGAAGCAGGCGATGGGTTTGGTGCTGAGGCAGGAAGCAGCTGAGCGCTGCTGGCTCCTTCTTGCTCCGTGCTCCACTGCCTCCACCTCGTCCCACACGGATGGGTCCTAAGGAGATGGGGGCACAGGCCTCCCTGAGCCGGGCTCTGCATTAAACAGGGAAAAGCTGAACCTGGGAAATCCACAGCCGAGCTGGGAGTCACACCAGGAAACAAGGCTGGAAGAAACTGGTATTTGCCCGGGGCCCAAACGAGGGCAACACCCGAGGAGAGGCTTGGAGTCCCCTTTTAATCAGGTCACCCTCCAGGAGCCTGTAACTCCCTCCAGGGCAGGGCTGGAGGTACCTCCATCTTCTGGAGCCACGCTGGGGACTGTAGACGGCTGAACGCTTCTCTTGGTAATTGGTACCTCTGCCACCACCAAGATGAAAGCACCTCTGCAGCAAGGACAGGGACCCACGTCCCAGCATCCGAGCAGGGCTCCCCATTCCGGCCATGCACATGGCAGTGTGGCCTCCCAGGGACCCCAGGCACAGAGGGCATTTTCCAGGGCACTGAGAGGCAGCTCAGTTCAGGTCTCCTCTCTGCTGCTACCCACTCATCCTACTCCTTTTTGCTCCATGCTTCTGTTCACCCCAAGTCCTACCCAGAGCCAGGGGTCTCCATGAAGGAGCTTGCTCCAAGGAGTCCATCTCAGACAAGCGGGTGTCTCATGACTCAAACGTCCTCAACGCTCACAACCCTGGGCACAACTGACCTGCCAAAGCCACCCTGCCCTTTTCAGCTGAGCATCTACCACCAAAGCGATGCTAGAACTGGTCTTGGGCACCAGCTGCTCATGGCAGTAGCAGGAGGCACCAGGAGAAGGAAGTAACACAACTTCTCCCCTCTTTTCCCTCCAAGCATTGAGGGGTCAAGACGTTCCTCAGCATTCAAGCAAGCTGAAGAACCACTGCGTGTCCAGTTCACGCACCGCAAACCAGATGCCGTGCAGAGGAGCGGGCGGACACCGACTCCAGCAGCCGCTTAATCCAGATCCAGGCCTGGAGTTCTCCTGGGGGTGGAGGCCACGCTGAAGCCCCCTCTCTCCCCGCTGATATTTGCGCTATTTGGGAAATGCTGCCTGCCATTTGCCCATCCCTCCCAGGAAAATGGTTGCAATAGCCGCGCTCGCCGGGACAGCTGCTTCGCACGCTGCCCTCTCCCAGCTCCCCAGGCCCAGCACCTGCTCCGAGGGGCACGTCCAGCCCGGAGGCAATGGAAAAAAAATAGGGAAAAGACAAGGGGCCTGCAGGAACAGCAGGAGGAAAGCACAGCTCACGCTACGCAGTTCGCTCCCCTTCTCAAATACACTTGGAAGGGGTTTTTGATTTGATTTTTTTTTTAAATCCCAAATCTCCAACATTTGTATTTCATATCAGGACGGAGTGCATTTTGCAGACTCTGGCTATAGGCAGCCTATTGTTGTCCAGCTGATTTTCCCAATGGAAATACCATGGAAATGGTTAACTGTTTTATCGCCGAGGCAGACGCAAGAAGCCCCAGATAAAAAGAAGCAAGTTCAAAAGCTGGCTTGCCAAAGGCTACTTTGAAGTTTTCGCCCGTTTGCAACATGCAAAGGGACACCAGCAGATTTTTTCCCAAAGAGTTGCTCTTTTGCATTCAAAATAAGGTGACAGTTGGGCTGTTCTTTGAGAAAAGTTTCAGCAAGATCAGCCAGCAGCGTTCAGGGCTGCAGGTTTTTTTTAGTAACCAGATTGAGCCACTAAAGTTTCACAGCTGCAAACTCTTTAGGGCAAAGATGCAATGAAAAACCTAGAGCTGGAAAGGGGGGGAAAGAAATCTTTATTCCTTTAATATCTAATCCCAAGGGATTGTAGCAGACAAAGGCAACATGGCAGCTCACTCCTAAGGAAGAAACCCTGAGGTCTCTGCAAGTTGCACTAGTTCCCCTGGGGCAGTGCGAGAGTGGAAGTGCTAAAATCATGGAAAAGTGCCAGGAGTATCAAAGTTTAAAGTTTAATATGCCACGCAGTTGTGCATCTAGATACGCTGGCTCCCAGAAAAGTAAAACTCAACTTGCACTAAAGAGTCAAGCCCTTTGCAACTCCACGGTCCCATCCCAGGAGCTGCAAACCCCAGAGCGGAAAAAGCAGCAAGAGGCCACTGAAATCTCCCTTATCCAACTAAGTCCCTCACGTTTCCCTTATAAGGAGCAAACATCGATTCAATAAGTCGCAAGGTAATCAGCAATTAAACAAAACTGCTTGGAATTAACAGCCCCAAGAGGAAAGGAGAGGAAAAGAGCAAGCAATCTGTTCAGCTCGGTACACTTGGAAAACAATCTATATATTAAGTTGAGGCTAATATAAATATATGGCATGCTCTTACCATGATGAGAGTGGAGGCTTGCTAAGATCTAGGCAAAACAGCTGCTGCCCCTGCCTCTGCCTGCAACTTTATAGCACAGGAAGGCTTGACTCCACCTGAATATAAAGAGGCTTTCTGCTAGCTTAAAGGAGCAGAGCTCCTTTTCCTTTGCATCCCCAGACACAGCAAGGGTTGACATGATCTGCTAGTGTCCAGCTGGGGTAGTTCTTGTGATTTAAAGGCTTGTGTATGGTGCATTTTCCCTTTTTTTTTTTTTTTCTAAGAGAGGTTCACCCCAAAAAAAAGCAGAAATACTGAACCTTGCGGAAGTCCGCTATGATGCCCTTTATCCAGAAGACACAATCCTTCCCTTATCATCATCCACAGCCAATGCATTATATCTTGCCTATTTTTAGACCTAATTCTGCAATTTTTGGTCTTTTGCCTCATGCCCTCGCTGACTTTTACAGGAACATGCTGCCCCTCCACTTGCCTTACCTGCTGGCCACCACTTTGCCCTAATGCCAAGAGCTGGCATAAAGACACTGTGCCAGCCCTACCCCGTCCTGCAAGCCTTAACCAACACAGCTCTGGATCTACCTTGAGGACTCCGTAAGGATCTGCATGGTGGATATCCAAAGGCATCTCCAGGGTGTATCTCTCCTCCCGGAGATGCACAGCAAAAGGACAAGAAGCAAAAAAGGGCAAGGGCAAAAGGGCAAGAAGCAGCGAGGGAAAAATTGACTGGGTTTAAGGGGGAAAAAACAATCATGAAGGTGGTCGGACATTGGAGAGTGAAGCTGAAGATGGGGGAAACTTCATTCTTGAATATTTTTAAACCTCGCATGCGTGAAACTTTGAGCCAGCCCATCTAAGTAAGGTTCTTTGAGCAAAAGGTGAGCCAACATCTTCCACACATCCCCTGTCAACCTTGATTGTTCAGTGGCAGCTGCTTTCAGCACCAGTGATGTTGTACAAGACTTTCTCACCCTCTCCATTACCACCTGGTCCTCCTTCTTCCCTGCTCTGGCCACTCATTCCCACTCAAGGTCTCCCCTGGGACTTCCCATCCTCTTGGCCATCCTGAAACCAGAGTTTTCACCACCAGTAAATCGACTGGGTATTTTAGGGGGCCAAATTAACATTCTTACTATGAACCCGCACGCATCAAAGTGGTTGGAAGAATATCAGAGGAACAGGGAGAAAGCTGCTGGCCTGATGGGCAAAGCCATGAGCTGACTTGTAGGAAATGCTGGAAAGAGTCTGGGGAAGAGCTTGGATCCCCTTGGATGTTGAACGCTGGGGCAGATGGGACCATTGCGTTGCTCCTGCTCAGGACTATACCATGGATTTAGGGAATGTGAGGCAAGGAGATTGGGTTCACAGCTATGTCTGCATTGAAAGTGGGGGAATTCAACACCTAATTGAGCTCAGCATGATTCTTCCCTCAGATCCAGCATCTACGAACGCAGTTGTCATCATCCTGGGCCCCAGACCTCTGGCTGGGAATAAAGGTGACCTGTGAGCACAGAGAAGCTACTCGTTTCCAGCCTAAACCAAGAACCACCCAAAACTCATGCACTGAGCCTGCCGGTCAGACAAGATCTTCTCTTTCTGAGACACATGTTCCTCAGTGGCTATAGAGGAAACCATGAACGTGGGCCACCATTCTCCAGGTACCCAGCCTTCAGTCAACCCCAAACTCCTTAATACTCCAAGCCCGAGATCTTGAGGCTGATTTCTTTCTTCCTTGGGAGATGGAAAGGCCAAGGAGAGGAGCATTGTAGCATGGTGGTGACAGCTCCGACCTGCCTGCGATCTGGGCTCCAAAGACATATTTAGAACTGCAGCAAGAAGACAGAGACCAACCCGCTGCGGCGGCTCCCAGCCTTTTTATAGACAGATCTCACAGCTGCTGCCTCCTCGTTCCTCCTGCATCCTAAATATTGCCTCCTCGGCTGCCCCTGTCCCTGTGTTGCTGGCCACACCAGGCAGCCTGGCACCAGCTGCAGCTGGCCCTGCTAGAGCAAGTCCTTACCGCAAGGATGCCGGTGGTGTCCCAGGAGAGACGCTGGACACGTGTCCTCGGATGGAGGGGACAGCTGATCTGTGGTCATCCCGCTCTGCGCAAGCACACGGATTACCATAAGAGAGAAGAGAGAAGTTACCATTTTTTGCTGTGCTGTCTCAGAGGAGGGCACTAAAATTTCACCTTTTAGGCCTGACACTTGTTTTTGTGAGAGGCCCCGTAGAATCCAAAGGGCAGAAATATGTTTAATTCAAACGAACGTTGCTTTTTACTATTGCTGAAGGAGAGGAAAAAAAAAAAGGAGCAGGGAAAAAGTAGTTTCATTTAGCTTCAGGCTGAACCAAAATGTGGGAAGTTTCGGTGTTTTTCTGGTTTGTTTGCTCCAGTGCAAAGAAAATAGTGATGCACATAACTCCAAAAACCACCATTTCAGGAATAATTTGCTCCCCTGTTTAATTCTTCACCTAGCTAATTTTGCTCCGTTTCACATGTGAACTTCTCTAGCACCAGCTGCCAGCCACTGGCTCTCATTATGCCTTTTTCTAAGGAGCAAAAGCTGCCAATTTTCCACACCCTCGTCCTCCCCAAGGCACTTGTTGTCTTTTCAAGCGAGTTTAGCACTGACCAAATACGCACAACAGCCCTGGAGATCTTCATCCTCCTCATCAGCCTCCAACAGCCAGATCCTGTTCTCCAGCAGGTCACCGTCCATCTCCCTTGTCCTCTGGAGGCATAAAGAGAAAAAGCCACTTATTCCACCAACATTTGACCTAGGTTCATCCCATCTAGTGCCAGTTCTCCCTCTCCTACGTTTTCCCCCATTCTCCTTCCTTAAGTTCTGCAGGGCTGACGTTGAAGCACTGCTTCTGATAGCGGTTGTCCTTGATGTAGTGAGGCCCCAAGAGCATCTGTTACTGATAACCAGCAATGATTTATCCGAGCTTTGGCCTGCCCATCTCTAGCATTTCCCCGTGTGTGTTTCGTCCATGCACGGCTGCGTTTTATACCATTCCTTTTGGACCTTTCTACTTCTCACAAGAGGACGATACGAGCGGAGACTCCTCCTCTCCGTTCACTTCCATGGTTCTCTGTCCATCCAGCCGGATTCTGCACAAATTCTCCTCCAGGCAAACACTGCACATCCCTGCAGCCTGAGACAGCCGAGCTGCTTGGATGAAGGGGGAACCTGCACAGAAAAGCGATTAAATTCTCAGCAAAAGGAAACTGCTAAGAAGCTGCTGTCAACAGAAGCATTCAGCCTCAAGTGCCAGTTCTCCCTCTCCTACGTTTTCTCCCATTCTCCCTCCTTAAGTTCTGCAGGGCTGACATTGAAGCACTGCTTCTGATAGTGGTTGTCCTTGATGTACCGTGTAGTGAGGCCCCAAGAGCATCTGTTACTGATAACCAGCAATGATTTATCCGAGCTTTGGCTTGCCCATCTCTAGCATTTCCCCGTGTGTGTTTCGTCCATGCACAGCTGCGTTTTATACCGTTCCTTTTGGACCTTTCTACTTCTCACAAGAGGACGATACGAGCGGAGAGGCCTCCTCTCCGTTCACTTCCATGGTTCTCTGTCCATCCAGCCGGATCCTTCACAGTTTCTCCTCCAGACAAACACTGTCACCAAACACATCCCTGCAGCCTGAGACAGCCGAGCTGCTTGGATAAAGGGGGAACCTGCACAGAAAAGCCATTCAATTCTCAGCGAAAGGAAACTGCTAAGAAGCTGCTGCCAACAGAAGCATTCGGCCTCAG